ATATGTCACATATATTTCAAGGGCTATACTTATACTAAAAAAAAAGTATGCATTTATCTGAAATTCACCTCGACACCATGTAGTTTTATTTGCTGACTCTGGTAACCCTGTTCTTCAGCAACCAGAGTCATCCTTTTAAAATACAAATCAGGTCGGGCGCAGTGGCTCGCACCTGTAATCCCAGCACTTTGGGAGGCCAAGGCGGGTAGATCACCCGAGGTCAGGAGTTCAAGACCAGCCTTGCCAACATAGTGAAACCCCATCTCTACTAAAAACACAAAAATTAGCCAGATGTGGTGGCGGACACCTGTAATTCCAGCTACTTGAGAGGCTGAGGTAGGAGAATCACTTGAACCCAGGAGACAGAGATTGCAGTGAGCTGAGATCACGCCAGTGCACTCCAGCCTGGGCAATAGAGCAAAACTGAGTCTCAATAAATAAATAAAATACGGATTAGCTCATATCATTCTTCTGCTCAAAATCTGCCAGTAGCTTCCTGTCTTTGCTCAAAGTGCTGACAAAGCCAGAGTCCTTACAGAGATCTGCCTTCCTCAGGGCCTCTAGGCTCTCCTCTCCTTCTCTCCCTCGTCCACTCGATCCAGCCACCATGAGAAGAAAGTAAAGTTCTACTCTATGTGACAGATTTGGGGCTGTCTGCTACCAAAGCAAAGCCTATCCTCCAGGAGATAGGCCCTCCTCCTATTTAATTCTGCCCTCCTCCAGGAGAAGAGAGGATAGGCTTTGCTTTGGTAGCAGACAGCCCCAAAATCTGTCACATAAAGTAGAACTTTACTTCTTGCTCATGCTACATTTCAAAAATGAATTGAGAGGGGCTCTGCAATTCAGTGGCTCAGAGATCCGGGTTGATGGAGGCTTTTCTGAAGTGTGGTTGTATCATCTGGTCAGCTCTTCAGAACAGGAAAAGAGAGAAATGAAGGGACACACACTGTGTGCTTAAAGGCCTCAGGCCAGAAGTGAAGGCTGTCACTTTTACTCACAGTTCATTGACCAGAATCAGTCACATGGCTCCACACAGTTTCCAGAGGCCTAGGAGAGGCAGAGGGCATATAGTTATTCTGTAAAAAATTCACGTCTCTTCCTAGCCACAATTGTGGGGATGGAGAGGGGAGTCATACCTTCCCCAAAGGTATGGGGTCTATTCAGAGATAGATTACTATCTCTTCACCCATTCCACCTCCCAGAGTTTGCAGAACTCAAATCAGCCCTGGCTTACACAAGACGAAGAGATCAAATATGAGCCAGCTCCAAGCACCTGAACCAGGCCAAACGGCAGGATGGTTTCCTGGGCAAGGCAGGCACCAATTTTGCCTCCCTCTCCACTCCCTGATCCCAAACCTGCTAGAAGCATTGCAGACCTACAGCCAGACCATTAGAAACTCTCTGAGCTATCAGTAATACTCAGTGACATCAACAAGAAGAGTTTCTTCCTTCTTTTAGATTATTTCCCTAGGATAAATTCCCAGATGTGGAATAACTGGCTCAAAGTATAAAAATGTTTGTATGGCTTAATCAAGTTGGCAGAGTGCTTTCCAAGATTTATTTGCATGGCGAATAAGCAGTCTATCATATCTGTTCCTTGTGCTGTCACCAAGATTGGGAGTGATTATTTTGGATGTTGCCATTCTGATAAGCAAACATCATATTTTTTCTTTAATTTGTATTTATGTGATTATAGCAGGCTTTAATCTGTTGCCACGTTTGTTTATAACAATGTTTCCACTTGTGTGATTTGTGAGCACAGAGGTTGGCTTACTTACTCAAGCCTTAATTTCTTAAACCAATTTTTATCAGTTCTTCATGTAACAAAGATGTTAGTTTTCTGCCTGTGGTAACAGCGGCATTGCATCTACCCCTTACCACCCTCATTCTGGTCTCCTTGCTTTTTCATTTTGGTTATTTTATTTTCATTGTTTTTTGCTGTATGAAGAAGTTTTAAATTTGTATGTACCCAAATTTGTCAGTCTTTTTTCTTTCGTGGTTTCTTCCTTTTTGGTTTTCGCTTCAAAGCTTGCAAATATATTCCTTGTTCTGAAATTTGATTAATATTTGCTTCTATTTTCTTCCCTTTGTCTTCTATGATTTGGTTTTTTTGACATTTAAATCTGTAATGCAAGTGAAACTTAGTTTAGAATTATGCCATTTATTTTTCCAAAAAGTAGGAAGTATAAGACTTCCTGCAGTTCCTTAAGCCAAATAAATAAACAAACAAAAGTGAAGTTTGTCTGGGTCATGTGAGGACTGGTTTGGGCCTGAAATAGAATTTTTATTTAGTTCTCTTGAACCCTTAGTGTTTCTGAAGAATGGACAGGATTGGAAATGGCCTGTCTGAATAACCTCTTTTCTATCAGGTCCTCTTTAGAGGACACAGAATGAAGTCCAACTGCTAAAATCCTTATTTTATTTTATTTTTGAGGCAGGGTCTCGTGATGTCACTCAGGCTGGAGTGCAGTGGTGCAATCTCAGCTCACTGCAACCTCTGCCTCCTGGGTTCAAGGAATTCTCATACCCCAGCCTCCCAAGTAGCTGGGAGTACAGGCATGCACCATCATGCCTGGCTAATTTTTGTGTTTTTAGTACAGACAGCATTACACCATGTTGCCCAGGCTAGTCTCTAACTCCTGACCTCGAGTGATCTACCAGCCTAGACCTCCCAAAGTGCTGGGATTACAGGGGTGAGCCACCACACTAGCCCTGCTTTTTGTTGTTGTTGTTGTTGTTGTTTCATTGTTGTTGTTTTGTTTTTTTGAGTGTAACATCTACAGGGTTGATAGTTGTTGGATGGGATAGGAATGGTTAGGGCAGGTGACTTTGTTTCTGGATTCATGAGGTTTTCCTTTTCTTGAGCTGTCTATAACAGTGAATGGGGTTTTGTGTTACAGACTAATATTGTGATTTGCATTATCAGGTACATTCAGTTTTCTGCATTGAGAAGGTTATGTAGCTGCAGTCCACAGCAAATCCTTTTAAAGTGAAGACCGGGGCGGGGGGGATGGAGACAGAAAACTACCATGGCATATATATACCTATGCAACAAGCCTGCAGGATGCAGGATGTGCACATGTACCCCAGAGCCCAAAGTACAATTTTTTAAAAAAGTGAAAACTAGGCCGGGCGCGGTGGCTCAAGCCTGTAATCCCAGCACTTTGGGAGGCCGAGGCGGGTGGATCACGAGGTCGAGAGATCGAGACCATCCTGGTCAACGTGGTGAAACCCCGTCTCTACTAAAAATACAAAAAATTAGCTGGGCATGGTGGCACGTGCCTGTAGTCCCAGCTACTCAGGAGGCTGAGGCAGGAGAATTGCTTGAACCCAGGAGGCGGAGGTTGCGGTGAGCCGAGATCGCGCCATTGCACTCCAGCCTGGGTAACAAGAGCAACGCTGTCTCAAAAAAAAAAAAAAAGTGAAAACTGAGTAGGGGATGGACCCAGGACATGTATGGGGGCCAGGTAGTTCATTACAAAGAACAAACACTGACTTTGAATTTTTTGTCTATTCAGGTTTTTTTGTTTGGCTTTCTTTTCTTTTCTTTTGTTGTTGTTGTTGTTCTTCTTCTTCTTCTTTTTTTTTTTTTGAGGCAGAGTCTCACTCTTTCACACAGGCTGGAGTGCAGTGGTGTGATCTTGGCTCGCTGCAACCTCCACCACCCAGGTTCAAGTGATTCTCCTGCCTCAGCCTCCCAAGTAGCTAGAATTACAGGTGCACACCACAATGCCCAGCTAATTTTTGTATTTTTAGTAGAGACAGGGTTTTGCCATGTTGGCCAGGCTGGTCTTGAACTCCTAACCTTGGATGATCCACCCACCTCGGCCTCTCAAAGTGCTGGGATTACAGGCATGAGCCACTGCACCCAGCCAATTTAATTTTTTTATTTTTAATTTTTGTGGGTACAAAATAGGCATATATATTTATGGGCTACATGAAATATTTTGATACAGGATGGATGGATATTACTCACACCAGAGTAAATGGGGTATCCATCACCTCAAGCATTTGTCATTTCTTTATGTTACAAACATTATAATTATACTCTTTTAGTTATTTTAAAAGGTGCAATAAATTATTGTTGACTGTAGTCACTCTGTTGTGCTATCAAATACTAGATCTTATTCATTCTATCTGACTATATTTTTGTACTCATTAACCATTTCCACTCCTACCAGCACCCCACCACCACCTCCACTGCCCTCCCTAGCCTCTGGTGTCCGTCATTCTGTTCTCTATCTCCATGAATTCATTGTTTTAATTTTTAGATCCTGCAAATGAGTGAGAACAGGCAAAGTTCTTCTTTCTGTGTCTAGCTTATTTCACTTAACATAATGTCTTGCAGCTCCATTCACGTTGTTGTAAGTGACAGGATCTCATTCTTTTTCATGACTGAATGGTACTCCGTTGTATATATGTACAACGTTTTCTTTATCCATTTGTTTGCCGATGGGCACTTCAGTTGCTTCCAAACCTTGGCTATTGTGAATAGTGCTACAGTAAACATGGGAGTGTAGCTATCTCTCCAACATACTGATTTCATTTCCTCTGGGCAAATATCCAGTTGTGGAATTGCTGGATCACAGAGTAGTTCTGCCTTTAGTTTTTTGAGAAACCCCTATTCTTTTCTCCATGGTGGTTGTACTAATTTACACCCCCACCAAGAGTGTACAAAGGTTCCCTTTTCTCCACATCCTTGCCAGCATTTTTTATTGCCTGTCTTTTGGATAAAAGCCATTTTTACTGAGGTGAGATGATATCTCTCTGTAGTTTTTAATTTGCATTTCTCCAGTGATCACTGATATTAAGCATCCCTTTATATACCTGTTTGCCATTTGTATGTTTTCTTTTTAGAAATGTCTTATTCAGACCTTTTGACCATTTTTGCACTAGATTATTAGATTTTTTTCTATTGAGTTTTTTGAGCTCCTTATATATTCTGGTTTTTCATCTCTTGTCAGGTGGATAATTTGCAAATATTTTCTCCCATTTTCTAGGTTGTCTCTTCACCTTGCTGATTGTTTCCTTGGCTGTGCAGAAGCTTCTCGGCTTGATGGGATCCTATTTGTTCATCTTTTTGCTTTGGTTGCCTGTGCTTTGGGGGTATTACTTGGTAAGTCTTTCCCCAGACAAATGACCTAGAGAGTTTCCCAGTGTTTTCTTTCAGTAGGTTTATAGTTTGAAGTCTTAGACTTAAGTCTTTAATTTATTTTGATTTTATTTTTGTATTTGGTGAGAGATAGAGGTTGAGTTTTATTCTTCTGCATGTGGATATCCAGTTTTTCCAGTATCATTTATTGAAGACTGTCTTTTCCCCAGAGTATGTTCCTGACATCTCTGTAGAAAATTAGCTCACTGTAGACGTATGGATTTATTTCTGGGTTCTCTATGCTGTTCCACTGGTCTATGTGTCTGTTTTTATACCAGTATCATGCTGTTTTGGTTACAATATCTGTAGTATAATGTGAAGTCAGGTAATGTGATTCCTCTAGTTTTGTTCTTTTTGCTCAGGATAGCTTTGGCTATTGGGGTCTTTTGTAGTTCTACATACATTTTAGGATTGTTTTAAGCTTTTTAAAAGTAAGAATAATCTCTAAGGGCAGGGAATGCCAAGCATAGAGAAGTGAGGGGTGATGGAAATTAAGCTCCATCTCATGCAGAGCATCTGACAGCTAATTGAGTGGACAATTCCTTGAAGCAGGCTGCCATGAGATGGAGTAGCCTCGGGAACACTTGCCACCTCAGGGTTTTGTGAGCAGTGCCTTGTTTTTCCCTCATCAAGAGCAGAGCCAGAACTGTCTCCAATAGCTCCAATCCCCCATTCTGGGTAAGGGTGGCCTTCTCTCACAACAGTGGGAAAACTGAGAAGCAGCAGAAACTGCATCATGTCCTCCCCTGCCCCACCCAAACTCCACCCTGTTTTCCCCAGTAAAGATGGGTAAAGAGCAGAGGGAATAATAAACATCAACTTTAAAAGCCACTAACCTGGGCCAGGCTCACATCTGTAATCCTGGCATTTTGGGAGGCTGAGTGAGGCAGGAGGATGACTTGAGACAAGGAGTTTGAGACCAGCCTGGGCAACATAGCAAGATCCCAGTCACTACCAAAAAAAAAATTTTTTTTGAGACAGAGTCTCACTCTGTCACCCAGGCTGAAGTGCAGTGGCTCAGCCTCAGCTCATTGCAACCTATACCTCCCAAGCTAAAGCGATTCTCTTGCCTCAGTCTCCAGAGTAGCTAGGTGTGTGCCACCATGCCCAGCTAATTTTTTGTAGTTTTAGTAAAGACAGGATTTCACATGTTGGCCAGGCTGGTCTCAAACTCTTGACCTCAGGTGATCTGCCCAACTTGGCCTCACAAAGTGCTGGGCTTACATGTGTGAGCCACCACGCCTGGCCTTACCAAAAAAAAAAATTTAATAGTCAGGTGTGGTGTCATGCACCTATAGTCCTAGCTACTTGGGAGACTGAGGCAGGAGGATCACTTAAGCCCAGGGGTTTGAGGCTGTAGTGAGCTATGATTGCACCACTGCACTCCAGCCTGAGTGACAGAGAGAGACCTGTTTAAAAAGAAAAAAAGGGCGCGGCGCGGTGGCTCACGCCTGTAATCCCAGCACTTTGGGAGGCTGAGGCGGGTGGATCACGAGGTCAAGAGATCGAGACCATCCTGGTCAACATGGTGAAACCCTGTCTCTACTAAAAATACAAAAAATCAGCTGGGCATGGTGGCGCGTGCCTATAATCCCAGCTACTCAGGAGGCTGAGGCAGGAGAATTGACTGAACCCAGGAGGTGGAGGTTGCAGTGAGCCGAGATCGCGCCATTGCACTCCAGCCTGGGTAACAAGAGCGAAACTCAATCTAAAAAAAAAAAGAAAGAAAAAAAGCCAATGTCATCTTTCTTTTCCATTTATTTTTAATCAGTCTTGGAAGGAGAAACTGTTCTGAGAGGTAAGGAAACTTATTTTGGGTTTTGAATTCTAAACCCAAGGTACCAAGTATTAAGTTCTTGGAAATTGTTGGTTTGGAGAATTAGGGATTACTCTGCTCCTCATTTTAAGCAAACTGAACTATGCAGCATGGCCACTTCTCTGCTTCCTCTTTGCCCACCTGCTTGCTGTGTCCTTCTGGCTTTTTAAATTTCCTGCTTAGACTTTGGGCAGGGACTGCTCAGACAGGCGTTAGTATCTTTTTTTTTTTTTTTTCTGAGACAGAGTTTCATTCTTGTTGCCCAGGCTGGAGTGCAATGGTGCAATCTCAGCTCACTGTAACCTCTGCTTCCTGGGTTCAAGCGTTTCTCCTGCCTCAGCCTCTGGAGTAGCTGGGCTTACAGGCGCCTGTCACCACACCTGGCTAATTTTTTGTATTTTTAGTAGGGACAGGGTTTTACCAGATTGGCCTGGCTGGTTTCTAACTCTTGACCTCAGGTGATTCACCTGCCTCGGCCTCCCAAAGTGCTGGGATTAGAGGCATGAGCCACTGCACCTGGCCTAATATCTATTCTTTAGTCAAGGAGATGAGAGATTCATTAAATCAGGTACTTTGGCAACTCTGAGGCCATACTTGGCCCAGCAGAGCATTAAAAACAAACAAATCATCTCCAAAAGTTTGTAGAGGCCAGGCGCGGTGGCTCAAGCCTGTAATCCCAGCACTTTGGGAGGCCGAGGCGGGTGGATCACGAAGTCAAGAGATCGAGACCATCCCGGTCAACATAGTGAAACCCCGTCTCTACTAAAAATACAAAAAAATTAGCTGGGCATGGTGGCACGTGCCTGTAATCCCAGCTACTCAGGAGGCTGAGGCAGGAGAATTGCCTGAATCCAGGAGGCGGAGGTTGCGATGAGCCGAGATCGCGCCATTGCACTCCAGCCTGGGTAACAAGAGCAAAACTCTGTCTCAAAAAAAAAAAAAAAAAAAAGTTTGTAGAGTTAGGGCAGTTTTCACTGGATGTTTTACTAAAAGGTGCAATGAAGACAAATTTATACCATTTAACATAGCAGCTTCTCCCAGCCCCACTTCTTGTGGAGAGAAGTCTTCTGCTTCATAAAACACACTCAATTCCCTTCTCTGGCCACTGGCGCAGTCTCTCTCTCTACATTCCTCTCCTTTCTTCTGTGCTTTCCCAGGCTCAGCTTCTACTTTGCAGACCTGACTGGTCCTGATAAGCTGTTTTCTGCACTTGAATGTTATCTGTCACAGCAGATCCAAGGGGCCTGGCAGGGTGGCTCACACCTGTAATCCCAGCACTTTGGGAGTCCTAGGTGGGTGGATCGCTTGAGCCTAGGAGTTTAAGACCATCCTGGGCAAAAGGGTGAAACCCCATTTCTACAGAAAATACAAAAAAATTAGCCAGACACGGTGGTGTATGCCTGTAGTTCCAGCTACTACAGTCCAGGCGGAGGTGGAAGAGTTGCTTGAGCCCAGGAGCCAGAGGCCTCAGTGAGCCGCGAAGCCGTGATCATGATCGTGACACTGCACTCCAGCCTGGGAGGCAGAATGAGACCCTGTCTCAAAACAAAAACAAACAAACAAAAAAAGATGTGAGGGCCCACTCTCCCCAGTGATGAGAATCCCATTTTATTGACTGAGGTCCTTTGGGTTTGTATTAGTTTTCTATTGCTGCTGTAACAAATTATCATAAATTGAGCAATTTAACACAAATTTAGTATCTTACAGATCTATAGTTCAAAAGTTCAAAATAGGTCTCTTTGGGCTGAAATCAAGGTGTGGGAAAGGAAGGCTGCATTCCTTTCTGGAGGCTCAAGAGGAAAATCTGTTTTGTTTTTTTGCAGTTTTTCCAGTTTCTAGAGGCCGCTGCATTGTTTGGTTCATGACCCTCTGCCATCTTCAAAGGCTAGCAATTGCATCACTCTAGCCGTGCTTTCATAGGCAGTCTTTTTATCTGACTCTGGCTCTTCTGCCTTTCTGTTTCACATTTAAGGAATCTTTTGATTTTACCAGCCTGCCCCACAAATGCAGGATAATCTCCTATTTTATAGTTGGCTAGTTAGTGACCTTAATGCCGTCTGCAAACTTAATTCCTGTTCACTGTATAACAACATAGTCACAGTTTCTGCAGATTAATATCTGGATACCTTGTTGAGTTGGGGGGGGGGGGTGGCATTATCCACTCTACAACAGGATTCAAAGGCCAATGTGGCTAGTAGTAGCTTGGGGAAGAATGGTTTCCTCTTCCTGTAGCCATAGACAACACAGGAGAGAGGCCATGCTGGATCCTAAACCTGATCCTAATGGGTAGCCAAGGGGCTAAGGAAAACCTTTCTCCAAGTGTAGCATAGTGCAGTCCTTTCTCAGTTTTAGCTCTGCTCTAATCCTTAACCTTAACCTCCACATTCGATGGACAAAGATGGGTGGTGATTTTCAGAAGAAACAAAGATAAGCGGAAGCCTCTATCTCCAGTGAAGAGATGTTTGTTTTTCATGACCTCTTCAATCTTCTCTTAGCTCACCAACATTGAGTCATGCAGATTTTGGTGGACATCTTGGCATTTGATGTCTCTCCCATCCCCAGGTTAATGCCAGAATAACATTGACTCCTTCTCATTGACACAGGGAGGAGGAAAAGTCATCTCCCTGGGGCCCTGATTTGTAGATGAAATGCAGGATGGTCACCTACTTTGATCTGGGACCAGTCATAACTCCAAATCCCCATGCTTATGTGGTATAGTGAGATAGTCTCCAAATATAGCTGTTGCCAATTCCTCATGTCCCTGAATGCACTGCTGCTCCTCACATTGAGATGTAGAGTCTAAGTCCTCTCCATGGGCTAATCTTAGTAACTTGCTTAACCACTAAAATGTGATGGAAGAGAGGTTCTAGGTCTTTTGAGGCTAAGTTACAAAGTTTTGCAGTGTCCTCTTGGGCATTCGTTCTTGGAAATCAGCCATAACTCTGTGAGAAGCCCAAGCCACATGGGGAGGCCAATCGTAGGCTCTCTGGTTGATAAGACCAGATGAGCTCCCAGCCAACAGCTGTATCTACTGCTAGCCATGAGTGAGCTATCTTGAACAGTCAGCCCAGTCAAGCCTGCATACAGAAATTAGGAATGAGAGAGTTTATACTATCTGAAAGAAGTAACATGGACAAAAATG